GAATTCATGTGGTCCCATCAATATAGGTTGTGGAGTTTTTGTTGTTGTTCTTGTTAACTAATATGTCTGAAAATGTAATTTTCATAAATGAAGAGTACAAAAGAAAAAAATGCGTATCTGTAAGAGAGTATCACCCCTTTCCTAGGCTATACAACATGAAAAAGTTAAGTCCCTCTTAAATGAGAATTTATGACAAAAACAAGTAATGGTTTTAACAACGCATTTGAAAAATGAAACAAAAAAAATAAATAAATTCATACAGTAAGAGCCATGAAGAACATTTTGCAATATAAATGACAGAATGTTTTATTTATTGACATATAAAAGAATTTTTAAAACTTGATAAAAAATCTAATAGGAAATTGAGAAAAAATTTTAAGAGAAATATCAGTTTAACCTCACTTATCATTAGTATCAAATATCAAATATTTTTACCCATATGAGGAGAAAATATATAAAAGATTAATCAAATATTTTGGAGATGATCACAATCAAGCACTCTCAATGTGATTTTCTGCAAATTTTTTAAAAGTAATTTATTAATATCGATTGCAATTTTGAAAGCACATACTCCTTGAATCAGCATTCCCAATTTCATCTCATACAATTAGTTTCCTATACAAATATATCTTCAGATATATTTTATGATATTATAGGGAAAAGCAAAAGAAAACAAGCAAAAAACTCAGACCACTCTTCTATCTAACAATAGATAATGTTTAAGTTAATTATGGCCCAATTGTGTCAAAGGAAAGTTGTATGAACATCGTTAAACAAGCAAGGAAGACTTTATTGAAGACTATTAGAGTAGAGGCCAAGTTTATTGCAATAGGAGAAAGAGATTGCACTCAACTCTGCTGAAATAAAAGATAAGAGAGTTTTTAAGTGCTAGAGTGAGAAGGTGGAAAGTACTGGAGGACATTAGAATTGATTAATGTGATTGTGTCTGCTAACTGTCACTTATCAAAATCAGTCTCTACCCTCCCACAGAGACTGGGAGACAGGGGCTCTGTTTCTTTCTTTTCTTTTTTTTTTTTTTGGTGGGGCTTACATATACATCTGCTTTTGCAACAGCTGTTTCATATTTTTGTGTATGTGTGAGGAAGATTGGCCCCAATCTAATATCTGTTGCTATCTTCCTCTTTTTTTTTTCTGTACCCAAAGGTCCAGGACATAGTTGTATATCCTAGTTCTAAGTCCTTCTAGTTCTTCTCTGTGGGGTGCCGCCACAGCATGGCCTGACAAGCAGTGTTAAGTCCACACCCAGGATCTGAACCCTTGAACCCTGGGTTGAAGAAGCAGAATGCACAAACTCAACCACTTGGCCATGGGGCTGACCCTGGGCTATATCTTTTTTGATGGTTACATTTCAAAAACCTGTCTCCCAGTTCCCTGGGAAAGACAGTCTTGAGTTGCAAAACTGTCCAAAAGGTGGAATAAGATTTACATCTCAAAGCAGCAGAGAAGGAGTTTACAATTGCAAGTTTTCTAAAGGAGATACTCTAAGAAAAGGGAGGTCAGGTGCTTGTAATCGGAAAGAAGCCTGTCTAAAGTTTAGTCTGTGGAGAACATTAAGACCATCTGGATCAATCATACAATAACACATGATAACTATTAAAATGAATGAGGTAATGGCAAAGTGGCAGTACTGTGGTACTTTTTGAATCTGCTCCAATTCCCCCAGGGATAAAAGAAAAACTAGGATGGAAAAAGAAAAATCTTCACCAAAACTAGGTAACAGAATACCACAAATCCTGTTGCTAATGCAAATGGGGCTGTTGGGGAGCAGAATTTGCCACCCCATAATGTGTCTCTTTGGCTTGACTATTTTTAAGAACAGAAGACAAAGGAAGAAACTTTGAGTTTCTTTCTAACCACCTAAAAGAAAGTAAGATAGAAGGCCTATTCTAGGAAGGAGCTATTGCCATAGATAACTATAGTATAATATGAACTAAGTGTGGTGGACAGGGAGGAACCTAACAAGGCCAATTTGATCAGAGTTGTCTCCTATGTCCCATTGTCTCTGCAAGGCAAGACAAACATTTGTTTACCAAACATTTGCTTTTTCATCTGCTCATGAATTGCCTTCCTCCCCTTTGAAGTACAAAATCACTAACCCCATCATCCTCTTTTGTCTTTAGCTCAAGATGGTATTTAAGGTGGTGGCTCAGCCATTTTGGTAGGTTACTCAGTTTTCCTGAGTTTCTACCATGTGTACATGTTATTAAACTTTGTTAGATTTTCTTCTGTTATTCTATCTCATGTCAATTTAATTCTTAGATCAGCCAGAAGAATCTAGATGGTAGAGGTATATTTCTTCCTCCCCTGCAGGACCAAATCACTAATGGTAGGAGAGAAGCATATGTAAAAGTCCAATGAACAGTAGCCAGAGGAGGGAAGGCAAGAGAGGCTTCCATTGGTACTAAGAACCCAGTAACCTAACAATCATCAGCTAGTTCACACACTGAAGTGAGGACTGGCACACAGGAAGGAGGTCTCAACTGCTGTTTTGTGAATCACGGATAAAACTGAGAAAGGTGATTACAGGGGGGCCATGGGATATCTGGAGGATCTAGAAGGTTGCCTGGACCCACAGAGCTCTCAGAAATATGCAAAAGAAGAACAAAGTCCTACAGTGAGGGGAAACCCCAGGGAATAGAACACAACTAGATCAGGACAGGCAATCTGAGGGTGAAGAATTGTGAGAACAAGAATAGAAAGGCCACTACAGATGTGAAGCTTGAAAAATTATCCTGCCTTATCTTGACCCCTGATGGAAAATTTCTTCTAGGAATTTTCTTACGGGAAAAGTTCAATTCATTTAAACATAAGAAATAGAAAAGACTAGCTATTGAACTCCTTTCAATGATGCTTTAAGAGAAAAAGAGTAAAACAATCTGAACACCGTCATTGAAGAAAATGAAGACGTATCAGAAGAACACAGCAACAGTCTAGAGGCAAACTGTAAAATGAGCTGAACGATATTAGGAAAATGATACAAAATGAAAAATATAAATCAGATAAGTAACGCTTAAAAAGAAGATACCTGGTCAACAAGAGGAAGTAAAAATACAGCCTGTTTGCTCAAGAAAACATCAGTAATACCAAGAAAAGATTTCAGAAATCGATTAAACTGGAAGTAACCCAAGAATAAACAGAAGCTATAAAAAGCATTTGTTATGGACAGAATTATGTCCTCTCCAAAATTCATATGTTGAAACCCTAACCCCAATGTGACTGTATTTAGAATTGGGCCTTTAAGGAGGTAGTTAAGATTAAATGAAGTCATAAGGGTGGGACCCTAATCCAGTTGGAGAAAAGACCATGTGAGGGTACAATGAGATGGTCACTGTCTGCAAGCCCAGGAAAGAGGTCTCAGGAGAAACCAACCCTGCCAGCATCTTTATCTTGGACTTCCCATCTCCAGAACTGTGAGAAAATAAATTTCTATTGTTTAAGGTACCCAATGTGTGGTATTTTGTTATGGCAGTTTGAGCAGATTAATATAGTATTTGAAGAAAAATACATGACATATAGAAAGGTTTTTTTTTTATTCTAACAAAAATTTTAAAAGAGACATAAAATTTCTCAGAGAAGATTTTTAATAAAGAAGACAATCAAAGAAGACTTAGTCTACAGATGATAGCAATTGCCAAAGAAGACAATTAAAGCAATACAGGAAAACTACTGAAAACCATAATGCAAAACCAAAAATTGAAGTGAAAGAAAAGTAGACCAACTTTTTAAAAGAGCACATTGTTTAACTGAGGAAATTGACACAAAATGGATAACACCGAGTCAAATCTACTAAAACTACTAGACTATAAAGGAAAGGAACATAAAGGAAATTTTTTGGCCACAAAGGCAAAAAGACCAGGTCACTTTGAAGGGATAGAAAATCAGATTAGTGTCAGGCATTTTTATGGCAACATAGTGTGCCAAAAAAATGGAGTAAATGTGAAAGAAAATGTGAACCAGGGATATTATGTGTAATCAAATAGACCTTCAAATATCAAGGTCACAGAAAAACCTTTATTATCATGCAGGAACTCAGGGAACCAAAATATGATTGGAGAAGCTTTCCCAGAAGGACTGGAAGGGTACTATATAAGTATTTCTAAAAGAACTCAGACAAAAAGTAGACATAAGTGTGATTGAAGAGTATGTAATTGATTCATGTTCTGACAACATAAATCTGATAGAATTATTAAAAACTGTGAGGGGCAGGGAAGGAATGAGAATATATGGAAAGTTGAATAAATTCACAGATTACACAAGGGTTGATAAACTAAGCCTTGGGACAAATCTAGCTTGCTACCTATTTTTGTAAATAAAGTTTTATTGCAACACAGCCATGTAAATTTGTTTACGTATAGTCTAGACTTCTTTCATGATACAAAGGAAGATTTGAGCAAGTGTGATACAGTATATGGCCCACAAAGGCCAAAATAAAATATTTTCAGTGTGAACATTTACAGAAAAAAAATTGTAGACCCCTTTTTTAGAGATATTAATTGAGAATATGGAAACTACATATATGTATATGTGTGTGTGTGTGTATACATATGTGTATGTATGGTACTTGATGACTTTTTGATAAATTCTCTTTCTGATTATCTGCACAGAATTATTTTCTTTGGCTTATAACTGAGATCCCAAACTGATAAATAGTCTTCAAGAATCTCTTGCCTTATATCCATAGTACACCATAATATGAACACCTGGAAAAGTGATGAGTAATCAACTTAAAATCAAAGGTATTTCATCCAGTCCATTTTTGTCAGAGAAAAATAATACTAAATACAGTAGTCTTCACTGTTAAACAACCAACTTCATTTATCCTTTGGAATTACAGTTAGAATTTAAACTGAGCAGTTGAACAGAAATTGAGATAAAGTGGACAAAATCCCCAAAGGCTAGTTATCCATTAATTATGTAAGTAGAAATACAGAACAAATGCCATAGAATTAGCATCAGTCTTGAAACATAAAGGATAAACTCTCTGATGTCTTTTCCACAGAAGAGCATTTTGCAGAGGAAAATACTACAGTAGCAATTAACTACAAACAGTGAGTATATGTAATGGACTTCTGAATTGAAACTAACCAAATTGTCGAACTAATTTAATCTTATATAAAATTAATTGTCTTAGTTTGGCTTCCCCAGAAACAGACTCTGGGAGGGAGGTTTGCAGGCAGGCAGCTTATTGGAGAGTGGAGGACATAGAACTGCTCAGAAAGAGGACGTGAACTGCCGTGGGGTCACAGCACAGGACTTGAACTGCAATACCAGTCAGTCAACCCCCTGGGGAGCTCTGAAGTTGGGGATGGCCCTTCAGAATCGTCCTGCCTTCAAGGCAAAGCTTCTGGTCTTTGCATGTGAACTCTCCCAGGGAGATGGGGCAAATGTGGATAAGGAGGCTTTCTTTAGCCAAAGGCAATTCCTCAAGATCATGTCAGCTGATCTCTCAGCTGCCAATGCTCCCAGCAGCTGGGGGCAGAAGTGTCCCTGTCTTCAAGAGCAGACCTTAACGGCACACTGCAACATGCATTATAATCCATTTCTGCTGCTTTAGTCTGCATCCCTTATATAAACAATTCTGAGAGGTGCTTCTTCAGAAATGTTACTCTTTTCTTGGAGAAACTGACATGAGGACAGTCTGTGGAAACAAACTGGAGGCTGTAACTGATGCTCATTGTCTCTCTCTTCTACTCGTCCCAAATTTCCATCACCACCTGGGTGGCTTGCCTGGTGGAGAGAGCCGGAATTCTCAACTCTCAGGGATCTGGGTCCTTGATCGCTATGACCTTTTCAGTCTAGGAATGCTACGTGTGTTTATTTATTATCGTAACTGAACAAAGTAATACCAAGAGCTCCTCTGTAAATCACTTAAATGATGAAGATATGAACTGTCCTCATTTTTTTCTCACACTTTGCTTTATTCTTGTTTTTTTTTTTTTGGTAAAAACACTTAACACGAGATCTAACCTCTTAACGAATTTTTATTTGTACAATACAGTATTGTTATCTACAGGATTTCTAGAATGTAATCATCTTGCATAAATTAAACTTTACCCTTTGAATAGCAACTCCCTATTTCCCCTCCCCCAGCCCCTGCTAACCACCATTATACTCTCTGCTTCTGTGTGTTTGATTATTTTAGATACCTCATATAATTGGAGTCATGCATTATTTGTCCTTCTGTGACTGGCTTATTTCACTTAGCATAATGCAGCCACTATACAAAGCAGTATGGACGTTCCTCAAAAACTTAAAATTAGAACTACCGTATGACCCAGCAATCCTACCATGAGAGACAACGTGGAAGAACGTGGAGGACATTATGATAAGTGAAATGTCTGCCCTCATTTTTTTTGTGAGGAAGATTGGCCCTGAGCTAACATCTGTTGCCAATCTTTCTCTTTTTGCTTGAGGAAGATTGTTGCTCAGCTAACATCTGTGCCAGTCTTCCTCTATTTTATGTGGGATGCCACCACAGCATGGCCTGACAAGTAGCACTGGGTCTGCATTGGAGATAGGTACCCACAAAACCCAGGCTGCCAAAGTGGAGCCTGTGAACTCAACCACTACGCCACTGCACCACCCCCTGCCCTCATTTTTTAACAATACCCTACCATCCTTCAGATCAGCATGGTCAATTACACCTATGAAGATTTGGATTCCTGTCCTTGTCTGCTGATCTTTTAGCAAAAGGAGCTCAGAGTGACTAAGTGGAAGTCATAGCTTAAAGTTTAATTTTACTCTTACTTTATTCTCTTATGGAACCATTTCCTCTCCGGAAATAAGGACCTCAACCTTTTTTTTTTTTTTTTTTTTGAGGAAGATTAGCCCTGAGCTAACATCCGTGCCCATCTTCCTCTACTTTATATGTGGGACGCCTACCACAGCATGGTTCGTCAAGCGTGCCATGTCTGCACCCAGGATCCAAACTGGCAAACCCAGGGCCGCCGAAGCAGAACGTGTGAACTTAACTGCTGTGCTACTGGGCCGGCTCCAGGACCTCAAATTTTTTATAGCCCAGAGTTATGGGAAAGGAAAGCATAAATTCTCCAAAGTCAAGTGGAACATAGACAGTCAGCTTCTCCTTCTACCGTTTGGTTCCTATATTGAAACTTTCCACCTATTGACAACATAGTGCTATGTAACTGTATTTGATTTTTCGTGTATAGTGCATCCTGAAGGATGATACTCCATCCTTGCAGTGCATTGATTCCAAACTGGTGTGACAGTTGTGTCTTCAAAAGCCTAGTCAATGACTCTTTCATGCTGGCATCTTCTACAAGGTGCAGAATATGATAAGATCTGTGAATCTCATGGTCATGTGCCTACATCTATACCTGCTTTGCTGTAAAGAGGGTCCTTGGTCCATTGTAATAGTCTATGGCTTCCTATACTGGCAGATCACATATTCTTTAAGTCCTTATATAATTGTGCTGCCTATGGAAACATGAGCAGGAAATCAAAGCCATTTCTAGAATACGTGTCATATCCAGTCAAGATGGTCATTCCTCTTGCAGAATGGAAGAAGTAAAACATAATCAATCATCACCAAGTTGTTGTCATTAGGTCTCCTCACGTGGTGGTGCTGTACTAGGGACTCAGCGTGGATCTCAGACTGGCAGGTTAGATGTGCAGTAGCGGCAGGAGGTTGGTCAGTCTTTGTGTGTAGGAGTACATGGTATTGGGCCAATTCATAGCGTGCATCCTCCACCCCCACCCCCTCATTGTGTCTACATCATGACAGCACCCGTCATACCACTGTTAGGCTGGCCACTCTCAGTTGACCAAGTCATTCTGGCAACTTGGTTGTATATTACCTCTTTCATAAGGTATATCCTTCGGTGGATTCTAACATGTGGTACAAAGGTCTTTACACTGTTCTACCCACTCCCTTAGGTCCACCAAATGCTGCTTTCCCAGCCTGACTTTCCCTCAATCTTCCAATCTTTCTCTTTCTGGATTTCTAACCAAATAGACAACCTATTTGCCACTGTCCATGAGCCCATATGTATTTTTATCAGCCTTTTCTGTTTTTCTACAATGTGGATTGCTAGATGTACATTCCAAAGCTCTACCCACAGAGGGGAATTCTCCTCTCTTCTGCCTTTCACAGCCATCCTTGAGAGAAGGAGCTGTAATGCACAGCAGTTCATTTTTAGAGTGCACTCATATACTAACCATGAAGAAGACTGCCATTTTTCTCTTCTATCATCAAGTCAAAAAGGACTCCCTTGTATCGCTGTTGGTCTGAGCTGACAAAGTGCCAGTGCAACACCAGTAGATGACATTAGAGTCAAGGCCAGCTACTCATGCAGCTTACTTGTGTTTTTTGTGTTTGTTCTTGTCTAATCCCAGATGTACCACTTCCAAATTGTGAAGGATTGTGTGGGCTGGCCCTACCTTATGAATTTGTGGATCTGACAGAATGAAGCCACTGAAGGGCATTTCTGGTGGCCTGATCACTGATGTTCCATTTCAAGTGTGCCACCTCTACCAAGGCTCATGAGAAATGCCAGCAGCTCTTTGTAAAGCGGTACGTAATTCTCTACTGCATATGGCAGAGTTTTGCTTGAAAACTCTAGAGGCTCACACTGTGATTGTCTTACTGGAGTTTGCTGTAAACTCCATACACTGTATTTGCCAAGATGCCTCTAACACCTTAGGGACTACATGTTGTTTGGGCCAATTGGCAATGCCTCTTGCACTGCTGCCTTGGCCTGCTTCTCTTAGCCACACTCAGAGCCAGCAATCTTTGTGTGCCACCCCACAGAAGGGGAGGAGAAATGTTCTAAGATGTGAAATATGCTGACTCCAGAAGAAGCCTGTCGGGCATTATGCTTCCTTCGTAGTGGTGGAAGGTGTGAGATATAATAATTTGTCCTTTGCTTTGGAGCAGATGTACTGGTATGCCCATGACTACAGACTGCTCCTAAAAACTACTTATGTCTCAGACTCTGAAGCCTTCATAGATTTATCTCCCATCATTTAGAGCACATCTGTCTTACCAAGTCCTCCAATTTACTTGCCACTTCTTGCTTCTACAATTTAATTTCCATAATATTCTGTGCAGTGTCCAGAGAGTCCAAGTCCCTTTGGAGTATATTTTCAGAGAGGTTAGAATAGATAACATAGCACTAAGACAAGACAGTGAAAGTAGACCGTTGGCTGGATTATGTTGTAATTTGACTTTTCTTATAAGTCTTGTGGCCAAGATCAGGGGTAAACAGTGGGGTAGGTGCCTTGTAAAGCATTATCTTCTGCATCTTCTTCAAGTCTCTAACAGACAGGAGTGGCACACTGCTACAGATTCAGCAGGTTCATATGTTAGGAGGTTTCAAGCCTTTTCAAATGAATTGACCCAAACATTGCCATCCCAAGTCTCAGGATCTCACTTCTTGCAATCAGGGCCTTACGTTTATGTAGGAGAATAGCTAGAGAATTCAACCTTCTCTAGGGCTCTACAATTCTTAAAATTAAACATGAAGTTTTATCATCAGCTTTTTCTGCCCTCCTGTTGCAGGAAAGAAGTCTTTTTATATACTGCAAAAGAGGCCCCCTGACTTTCACAACTGGCTCTCATTTAATCGATTAATCACTCTCATCATTTTACTGTCTTTCTCCAGTACATCAGTGTTTTTTGTGTTTGCAGTTGCTACTGCTCTGGAACCTCTCTAAAGCCACCCACCGGTGCATTCTCTTTCATTGGTATTCCAGCCAACTTCACCACTAGGAAATAAAGTTTAACAATTGCACCATGTAATATGCCAAGGTCATTGCAACACCTACCACCAGTGATGGAATAATTGTCAGCTCCCAGAGGATATCAGCTCCAAAATCCCACTTTTGAATCCGTTTCTTTGGACCTTGTCAGGTACCAACTCTCCTAGTTAGAGCTGTCTGGAGAACAGACTCTGAGACTGGTCTTTGCCTGCAGGGAACTAATTGGAGAGTCCTCTTGGGATCAACTACTGTGAGGAAGTGAGAGAAATAGGTCTGATCAGAGGGAGGCATTGAGTGCAATGCAGTCATAATGAAGGTCTTAGTCCATTCTACCAAAAACTTGGAGTTCAGATTGCCCTTTAGAGTTGCCCCAAATTAAGGCAAAGGGGCTGGTCTTCATACATTTAATAATCAAATCAAGCATTTTGCTGAGTAAACTGGTTAGGAAAAGAGGACAACTGAATAGGTCAGAGCTGTTGTGAAACTATGCTGAGTACAACCAAGATCATAATACAGACTGGTCACTTCTCTCCACTTTTCCATATGAGCGCTTTCCCACTATAAACTAAGTAGGAAGATGTGATAAAGTCAAATGTACGTCCTTGGTTCCATTAGAACTTAAATATATTGACATCCTTTTTTCTGTTTTTCCTTCTTTGAAGGGCATGAAAAGCTTTGAACCCGGGAAACCCAGTGTCAGATTTCATAGATTAGGCTAAAGAAAAGCCCAGACAGTGTCAGAGGAGCCGAATTAGGAGAAAGGGGAAGTAGATCCACATCTTTCTCCCAGTCTTAACATCCAAATTCTTGGACAATTAATCCTGATGCTTAAGGACAGTACAGAGGGGCTCTATACTGTTTATTTTTGTCCCCTGTCCCTCAAGGAGAGAGGAACATTTTACTTGTTAGTACATGTTATGCTTCAATTTGTATACATGTGTTCTCAACATAAATTGCATAAAATCTAACACAGTTTTCCTATTGGAAATTAAATGGATATCAGGCCATAGAATTATAAAAAGAAATTTTAGACAAACATTTATTAAACTTTAATTTTTTCAGAAAATGTTATTCAGAATTTAGAACTTAATTTTATCAATTAGAATTTGTATTTAAACTTTTAATTTAACAGATACTTTAAAATTTTTGGGCAAGATAATATTTGCTCAAATAGGGAAATAATAGAAAATTTTAATTTCAATTTTTTTATTTACTTTATGTGGTTGATATGCTATGTACTAGATACATATTGTACATTTTATTTAATACTTTTGAAGATTATTGCCAATAATTATATATTATATAAAAATCTTGATTATAGCAACATAATAATTACTTAAAATGAACCCTAAAGTATTTCCATTTTATACTTTATTATTTAAGAATTTAAAATATATTTTACATGTTATTATGCTGTACTTTAGATCATCGCCCCTTGCCTCTGAAGACTCAGAGATTTTACACCACATGTGGACTAACTTGTTAGCTAACCAAAGTCTCATAGTCTTTCTTAGACGATTTCTGGGTTACAGACACAAGGCATTTTATTACTTATAGCAGCGGTGGTAGCCAGAGTATCAGCATTTTTGTGGTGGTTACCCGAACCCCAGTTCCCATGGAGAGACCCAAAGAGGGCCAGGGGGTTGCATTAGAAGGAAAGAGCCCTAAACTTGGCAAACCAAATCATTAGCAACGAGAGGAAGCATCCTGTCCTTCACTTTAGTGAGCAACTCTATCTTCCAAGGTTATTCTCTATACAGAATTCTTGAAAATGTAGTCTGAAACAAAGGGCCATCAGTATCTCTGCTTACAAAATGTGCAGAAACGTGAGAGACCTATGGAAGATTGTCTCTAAATCATTACTGCCAATATAATGTAAATTATGTAAAAATCATGATTCTAATGACTTTTAAATTTTCTGGAATAAAACCTAAAAACATCATATAAAAAATTTTCAAAAATTGATTTTCAAAAAAATTTCCTCATCCAAATCTTCCCTGCCCATTAACAGAACACCCAGATGTTTGCAATAATCATTAAATTCAGTCATTTTTGATATTTTGCATACTTTCACTTATATAAGAACCATAGCTTTACATATGTCCTTTGTTTTAAACTTTTCCCCTTACAAGATAAATGTGTCATAGTACATTAGCACAATATATTTTATTTAACAGTTTGTGGATTTATTTATAATCTTCAATATTTAGATATATTGTATAGGAGTCTCTATTTGTATTCTTGTTAGAATGTCAATAGCATTTTTTGTGTTAATTTTACACTTTCTACCATAATGTTCCTTTGTGCAATCTAGTTGTCAATAATATGGTTCTAGACACCTCTTTGAACTATAATTCACTGTCTAATTGGAGTAGGTTGGCTGAGCTACTATTTACCATTGCTCAGGTCACTGGAATAGTTTCATTAGTCCTGTGACCATTTTGCATCATGGAACTAAAAACACTTTTTTGTTTAGCAAATGTCTTAATTTAAATTAATAATTTGATATATGTCATGTGTGTGTCTTTAGATCACTGTTCAAAATAACAGAAGCATTCATGATGGGGAACATTAGGAATAAATTCAAGGTTCGAGACTGGACCAGGTATGTCATTAAATGCATACAAGAGCAAAAGCTGTAAGTCCCTGCATCAAACAGAAAAGATGAATAAAGTTTGCTTTGCCTATTGATTTAAAGGTTATTTTTGATTTCTCTATATTTCCACATTTGACAAACTGTTATAGGAGACACATAGAAAGAGAAATTGCTGAAATCCCGGTGTCCTGTGTTATTAAGAGTTAACGGTATACAAATTCATGTTAGAGATTGTGAGCAAACCATGCAATTGGAAGCACTTGTGTCCATAAACCTTCAAGGCTAATATCTCAGAGGACAATACACAGGCTTTGAGCGTTAATGCATAACTGTAAATTGTCAGGTGGGATTGAATGTTGAATCAAAATCACAGTGACTTCCAAGAAATTTATAATTATAATAGGACCTTTCTTAAAGAACAGAAATTGCCCTCAAAGAGATAATCAGAAACTAATGCGCTTTAGTATATACATTTATTGCTGTTTCAGCACCACAGTTTCCCTTTGTATGTACAGGAGAAAGCTGCTAAATATATACTTCTAATTTTTAAAAATAATTTATTTTCTGTGCAGTGATTTTTACCTTAGTAATTTGAGATTCAGGTTAATGTACCCCTACAGAAAATTTGAATTTGTAACAGTATGTTTCCTGATGTGTTTGATTAAGACAATTGTGCCTATCAAAAATTCAAAGGAAGCTCTGCTAACTGCACTCTAGAAAAGACAGTGCTAATGCCGTCAATAGTTAATTATCCTAAGCTCTATCTATAACATGTTGTTTACACTAAAAAATGACCTGAAATTAAAATCAATTACAGCTTCAGAGCTACTAAGAATTAATATATTATGTATTAGTTTAGCAAATTGCTTCACAGAAAACATGCAGCATTATGTAATCAATAAGAAAACTTTATTTCACAAAATACTCCATTACAAGGGCTTCAAAAAGTTGAAAATAATTAATTGAATTTACTCAATTAATTTACATAAATATTCAATAATAAAATAGTTAAATAAAATACAGCTTGTTCACTGGATTGTATATTTATTTAATTGGGTAACTATTTAACTACATACGAAAAGACTACGTTGAATGACAAATAATAATAACAATAATGAAACGTATGAGTATATAAACAGTCAAGTAAAATTACATGAAAATGTGAACAAATAGAAAAATAGTAGGACCTAGAAAAATAAAAAACTTGTGCTGGAGAAGTGAGCACATGAATATATATTCCTCTTTTGTAAAATACTTTTGCAGGTTGCTGCATTAACATTTAAGTTATAATTAATATTAAAAGATATTTATGTAGGATGGCAGAAATTCAATCTTGAATTATATTCAGTTCCATATCATTATGGAAATAAATCAGTGTAGCAAAGCTTGCATATCTTTTTATGGTCGTTGTAAAAATATAAAAGAGCAGATCTTCTAAAGGAGAACTATGTTGCATTATATACAATAACATTTGTTCACCATTTTTAGTAGCAGTTAGTGGCTCATAACATATTTGGTGAGCATAAATATAACATGTAATTAACTCATTTTGTTTATCCATACCTAGAATGCAAATTTATTTTCAGTGGTGAGAAATAAAGATAAGAAAAGAAAATACCATTTTTAGTTTATATCCTCCATGAGATGAGTTCTTTTCATCCCCATTTCATTGACGAAACAACTAATATTTCATAGTAGCTTGCCAGAGTTGCTATAAAAAAAGTCCTATAGATTGGATGGCTCAAAAAGCAGAAGTTTATGCTCACTGTTCTGGAGGCTAGAAGTTCAAAGTCAGGGTGTCAGCAAGGTTGGTTTCTTCTGAGGCCTCTCTTTTTGGTTTGTGGAAGGGCATCTTCTCCCTGTGTCTTCACGTGATCTTCCCTCTGCGCATGTCTGTGTCCAAATTTCCTCTTCTTATAAGGACACCAGTTATGACTGGATTAGGGCCCACCATAATTACTTCATTTCAGCTTAATTATCTCTTTAAAGTCTTTTATCCAACTACAGTCACAATCTGAACTGCTGGGGATTAGGACTTCAACGTATAAATTTTTGAGGACACAATTTAGTGTTGATAAGCTGATAAGCTTAATTAACCTTCCTAAGTTCATGCAGGAGAGCTGGTATTCTGTACTTTCAGAGACTATTTTGTCACAAAGAAAAGACACAGCAAAATATTTTAAAATAAAGGAAATAGAATGTCTTCTTTCCAAAGCTAATAAAATCCATCATCACAAAATATATCATCATGCACGGCAATATATATAAAAATAAATTGATCATCTGTGCCTCAGGATGACATTACACAACAATTGGCTTAGCCTTTTTCCTTCCAGAAGTCGTCATCTGAATACCAGTTACATATTTATATGAGTATACTGCTTAGAAGTTTTCTCTCATGAATGCCCCTCTTTTGTGGTTCATTAAACCATATCCTAAAGATTTCAATACATTAACTTCCAATTTCATCTCATTAGTTTTTTCAATATCCTCTTTAATATTGCCCATTTAAAAATCATATAATTGAGTATATAGATAAAAAGCCACTTTAGGTAGCTGATATTATGGATTAAGTATGGGTTACAATAGCATTATATGATATAATTGCTCGTCTGTGTTGTAAGGTAGTTGAACTCATCTTTTCTCCTCCTTCTCATGCCCTTTATCCACAATTTTTTATTGCTCATTTGTCTCCCTTCTCGTCTTGCCCTCACCCATGCCTGTCCTCCTTCAAGTGACCTTTCTAATTTCTTCCTACTCAATTAAAAATACTTCTCATTATAAATGTCAAGGCTAAAATTTAAGAGGAAAATCATCTTATTAAGCAAATTGACCTCAACTGCAACCCACTGATAACTATTTGCATTTTATACACTCTTACTTCTTAACAAGAATATACTTTCTTCCAATTAGTGACTTTCCATATTGAGTAACAACAGAAAACCTAAAATCTTCTCACCCTATGATTGAGTTAGGATGTTTGTCGTTACTTTTAAGTTCTTCACTAATGAACTAGAATATTTTTAAAATAGCAATGCGACCCTCTGTGATATGACTCAAGATTGATCTAAATCTGTAAGCTAGAGCAAAGTACGTGACCCAATACTGACCACTGAGCTACAGGGGAGACCTCCTTTGTATGGGGTCAGGGCTTTTAATGCCCTTGCCCATTCTTTCTGGGTACACAAAATACAAGGCCCTGATTGCTCTTTACCTGGGCCATTTTTCAGGGTGTGTTTGCAGTGACCAATCTTGAGGGATGAAGTAACGTCTCCTTAAAGCACAGACTTATACTTGCTTATTCCTTGCCTGTTCATAAAAAAGAGCAACTTTTCCAAGCTCAGTGACCTTCAGTCGTCACACAAACCCAGAGTATGCACAGCGTTCATCAGGGCCCATACTGCATCATCCCCGTGAGGCTTGGGGCGAGGAGAACCAGTGCAAATTCTGATTCTCCTGTTCCTACTGTGCCATGAGTTAAAAAAGCCTATGTCTCTGATCAGAAATCTTGTGTCTTCTGCCAACACCGTCAAGACCGAAGTTTCTGACATTTCACTGTACCCTACTTACAAGTTAATAAGTTAGTCTATTTCTTTTTCATAGGTATTGGCAGAATACACTGAATAATATTTATTTTCTCGTAAGAGAGAAGCATGTGAAAAGCTTGTTTTGCCCCCCTCAACAGCCTTCATGCAATAGTCATCTTGTTAACTTTAAATGCATTATAAACCTCAAAGGAGTTAAGGGAAAGGGGATAATAATGAAGACTGGGGGAAAAAAGGAGGAAGGGGCAACCTCAGAAAAAGTTTAAGATCAATTTTAAGTGAATTAAACGAGTAAAAATACAACTGTAGATGTCAGTAGCCATAAGAGTGGCATGGGCCACCATCCTTATTTATGTTAATGCATGCCACTCTCCTTACTTGTTGTACATTTTGAAACCCATCACTGCGTTACATCTGGGCCATATTAAGACCCATGTGTGAATCACTTAGTGCCTACATTTTTAAGAAGGGACAGTAATATTTAGAGTCATAACTTTAGGAACATACTTTTCTAAAGTCTAACACTTTGATCCTTCATCAAATTATCATACCTCCTACATTAACATTGTTAAATTTCAGTTGACAGCTAACCTCATAGTAGGTCACATATCAAGTCTGGAAAAGACGAATGAAATTCCATTCCATGTTGCAAGACCCAGTCTCTTGCTAGTCTCCTCTGCCACCTACTGTGGCATGTTTGCTTGTTCCTTATTCTCCTTAGTATGTTTCTCCTGGGTGGAAGAAGATTGTAAGTTCCAAACATCATGCCCGCATATGAGTATTTCCAGGGAAAAAAGACAAAGAGACAAAGCAAACTTCGCTTTTTGTCTGGCTTTTTTATCAGGAAGGAAATGCTTTCACAGAGGGTCCTAGCGCACTCCTTCTTACAACCCTAACTGCAGTGGAGGCTGGGAAAGTGGATATTTGGGAAAAGGAAGCAAGCTTTTCATGTTACGGTTACGACATTTGCTGTCTTTCAAGGCTAATATTTCTTACCCTAGAGAGGACTTAATGTGACAGATAATTTTTAAAAAATTCATGTTTACTGAGGTATAATTGCATACAGTAAATTGACCATTTTAAAATGTACAGTTCTATGAGTAACCAACCCACAGTAATAAAGGCATTGAATGATTGCATTACTCCCCAAAAATCTCTCCCTCCCCTTTGGAGTAAGACTCCTCCCCAACCCATCTCCAGCCAATCACTGATCAAATTTTTATTTCCTAAAGTTTTTCTTTTTCCAGAATTTCATATAGGTAGTATTGCGAAGCATCCACTCTTTTGTCTGTGGTCTTTCACTGAGCCTTAGCTTAACACTTTTGGTACCCATCCAACAGTTTGTTGGTTTTCTGAGAAGTATTACATTGCATTAATTTAACACAATTTGTTCATTCATTCACTTTTTGATAGACCTTTGTGTTGTTTCCAGTTTTGGGTACTGTGTACAAAGGTGTTAGTGTGTACTTAAATGATTGTGTCTCATAGTAGGGTAAGTTTAACTTTACGACAAATCT